GCAAATAAAGCGGCGCGATCTCTTAATGAGGAATCTGGAAGAACAAATACCTAAGGCAAGACACAAAAACAAGAACCAATAAAGCAGCATTTAGACCTATATTAACATACACGGCGAAAACAAGATCTGACACATCTAAAAGGGGACGACTACTAAAAAAAACAGAGATGAAATTACTCCGACGAATATTATGGAAAAGTCTGTTGGATAGGGAGAGAAGTAAAACATAAGAAGAGCATACAATATAGAAGAGATAAATGGATGCGTGACAAAACAAAAACAGAAGCGAAATGTTCCTATGTAGAATGACAGAGGATAGAATAGTACGAATAGCACGAGATAAGTCACCAAATGGACGAAAAAATATTGGCAGAAAATGACAACAATGGTGCGACAATTTAAACAATTTACAAGGCTAATATTGAAGAAGAAACAGGCTTTGAAGCCTACGTACAAGAAATAGGAAGAGGAAGAAGATGTTTATTGTTAAACCAAACTATTCCCCAGGATCACAAATTGTGTTTAGTAACGTCTACAGGTCTGTCTCACTTTCAGCGATAATGACTATATCGTCAGCCTAACGGATGTTATTTATATTTTCTTTTGTACAGTTTTTAAGTGCTTATGTAAATAATTCTACGAAATATATATTAAATGGTAATGGTAAAAGAACACAACTCTGTTTCACTCCCCTACTTATCTGTTGCGCATCCGTGCTATTTCCATCTAATACAACACAGCCTGTTGGATCCAATAGAGATTTATTACTATATTAATGTCATTTTTGTCGAGGCCTTTTCTCTTTAGACATTTCATGAGAATGTTATATTTTACTATGTCGAAAGCTTTATCACAGTCTATAATCGCAACGAAAAAATTTTTTAGTTGGTCTCGACAGTTTTGGGATAAGGTTGTGAAACTATACAGAGCTTCCACTGTTCCAACATAACATTTTACCATCCGATGTCCGATTTGCAAATTGAGTCTTTGGTTACTCAGAAATATCCCCATCTTCAAAAAGGCTGCTCTTGATTGCTCTATTCTTAAGCGAATCTTTGATTTCGTATTCAGTTCTTCCTTAATCCAGACTCCTAAGTATTTTATTTTTTAACCGTTACGAAAGTCAAACTGTCTATTACTCATATCAGCTTCGCACTTTATGATTATTCTTGCATGTATAATCTTTATAAATGTTTTTAATAAATGTGACATTAAGCTGATTATTCTATAGCCATTACAGTGTTTCGGGTTTTTGGTTTTTGGTAGCGGAACAAAGGTCAATAGCAACCATTCTGTAGGTATCTCACCAGATTTTTATAAGTTGTTAGAGAGTATACTCATTGCCTTAAAATTGTCTTCGTTTGTTAGTTTAATCAACTCGATATGAGCTTCATCTGGCTCAGAAGCTCTGCCAGATTTTGAGTTGTTTATAGCATGTTGGACTTCAGATTTTAAAATTATTGGAGCTTCCTCATTATCAATTTGTATTGGTTCCGTTCTTGTATCTATGAAAATATCTTCAATATATTTAGTCCATACCTACTTGTTTTATTTCAATTGGGTTATTAATAGTTTTATTGTTTTTGTCCATTACTTATTTATGTAAATTATAATAATAATAACAACATAATATTTGATTTTGCTCCACATAATGTTCACATTCTTAGTGTTTTTCGTTTCTGATGTTAATTTCTTCATTTCTTGATTAATACAAATTGAAGCGTAACAATAAAACACTGAAAACTTTGTTTTTAAACTTCCACAAAAATTTATTTCAACTCTTATCACTACAGCTGTTTCGGCTTATTGCCTTTCTTAAGTGATCTATTTTTGGCATGCGTTTACACTTAATAGTCTCTAATGAAATAGGTTGAGGAGGGGAGAACTGTTTGTCTCAAGTTGGTCATTTAGAATTATATCTGTGTTTTTTAATTTGTTGATTTCCATAGATTCGAACAAGGATAGCTTAAGGCCTTTATTTTGAATGTGAAGGATTTTAAATTCGTCGTTAGAAGAATGATTGTGATCTAGAAGGTAAAGTGCGTATGTAAAATCTGTTTTTTTATTATTGAAAGCCCTTTTATGTTCTGCTATTCGTTTGTTAAAGTTTCTTCCAGTTTGACCGATGTATGTGAAATTACTATTTCCACCGCCAGAGAAAAAACCCAGTACCTTCTGTTTGATTACATATACAGGCAAAATTACAATAAAAATAGCCAAACACATAAAAAAGAAAGGAATAACACCAGCTTTCCGAACAAATAACAACCTAGGCAAATATATCAAAAACAACAATAGTCAAAATAAAAAACACTTACACAGTGGTGTGTACAAACTTAAATGTGGCGACTGCCCAAAAAACTTACATCGGTCCAACTGGTAGAAACTTTAACAACCGAATAGCAGAACATAAAAGGGCTTTCAATAATAAAAAAACAGATTCTACATACGCACTTCACCTTCTAGATCACAATCATTCTTTTAACGACGAATTTAAAATTCTTCACATTCAAAATAAAGGCCTTAAGCTATCCTTGTTAGAATCTATGAAAATCAGCAAATTAAAAAACACAGATATAATTCTAAATGACCAACTTGAGACAAACAGTTCTCCCTCCTCAACCTATTTCATAAGAGACTATAAAGTGTAAACGTATGCCAAAAATAGATCACTTGAGAAAGGCAATCAGCCGAAACAGCTGTAGTGATAAGAGTTAAAATAAATTTTTGTGGAAGTTTGAAAACAAAGTTTTCAGTGTTTTATTGTTACACAAAATGAATTTCCATCAAGTAACGGTCGAATCCATCAATTATTACAAATTGAAGCCTTAGCACGGATTTCATTTCTTTTGAGTAACTGAGTATTCACCTTAGAACTTTTGGATTTTATAATTTTTTGTACCCTCAGTTTCATTTTTAAGACAAGGATGTTATGGTCTGAGGGGACATCTGCTCCAAGAAAAGTCTTATCGATTACAATGGAATTTCTAAATCTTAGACTGGTTAGAATAAAGTCGATCTTATGCAATTTTGTTCATTATCCTATGGTGACCTCCAGGTATATAGTCTACGGGGTGGTAATCAAAACAATGTGTTCATAATCGCCAGGTTTTCTTCTTAACAAAATTGAGCCAATTTGTCGCCTCTAGCATTCCTTATTCCTAAACCAGAATTCCCTATTATATTGTCGACTTGGACTTTTTCTATCTTTGCATTTAAATCAAATTTAATTAATTTAATTTGAGAAATCAAGGCAGATACGAGCTACTCCAATGAATTTTGCAGGGTAAAATTGAAGGAAAAACAGCCCCAGGACGAAGAAGAATATCCTGGCTTGCTAACCTGAGAGCACGGTATAGAAAGACCTCAACACAGCTATTTCGTATAGCAACCAACAAAATCATCATAGCCAGAATGATTGCCAACGTTCGGAACGGACAGGCATTCTAAAAAGAAGAGAAAAGCATTTAAATCACCCATAATTATAGTAATTTCTTTCTTTCTTGTGTATTGTTGAAGTTGTTTGAGTTGTTCATCATCAAAAATTTTCTGTTTCAGCTTCTAATTTATCTGCAATTGGAGCATACACTTGTAGTACTACATTAATGTTGACTGGCTTACCCCGTATTTGTAATAATAGCATTATATCAAAAAAGTGAACAAAACTTACAACGGCTGCTTGGATTCTCTTGGAGGATAATTATTCCAACTCCATATATAAAATCTCAGGTGTCATTTCCGGAGTAGTATATCGTTTTATCCATGACCAATGTTTTACTGGAACGAGGCCAGCGCATTGTGCTTATGCCTAATATTTCTAGGTTCAGTCTGTTCATTTCCTGAATCGTGTTGAGCGTCTTTTCTTGTTCGAACAAACTCCTCACATGCCATGTCCCGAAATATAAAAAGGATTTGTTCTCTATATAGCTAATTGACACATTCGGGTAGCTCCTCCTTGCTGAGATTCTTAGCTCCCCTTGACCATTAAAGGTCCGCCGCGGACTAGGGCCCATGTTATTGATCGTACTTTGCATGGTTATACCTAATAGCCATTCGGGGTCGGAAGAGACAAGAGTTAGCCAAGAGAGGCTGATAGAAAAGATTAAAGACATTTTACTCAAGACAAGTTGAAAAAGAATACAATGTGAAGGCCCTTATAATGCGCCAGGTGCGTTTCATAAGCGTATGAGGATTAATACACTTTGTGTTCCCGCTCATACCGCGGGGTGTTGACTACAGACTGTACGGCTCATCCAGCATGCCATAGCATGGAGGGTAGTGTGTACATATTTTTTTAGAGACGTTTTTAGAGACGTAGACACTCAACTCCATGGCGTGACATTAACATGTTATCTGTTATTTACCTATTTTATCGGACCAGAACCCTTTTTTGCAAATGAACTTTGAAAGAAGAGTTACTTTTCGACCACTTGCCCTAAGTAACCAACGAGAAGGGCACATGCTTGATATACCCGACCCATTAGACATAGATACAGGGACTGCTTTGCGCTAGTTTTCTCTGTCACACTAGGTGACCATGACTATATTGCTGCAGTAAGTCTATCTTGTATAATGTCTATGAGATAACAAATCAGTTTAAACTTACTATTTTGGTATGTTAACTTAATAGACAGTTATTTTAACTGCATCTAAAACAATATTTGTAAAAGTCAATTGTAAAAATATTAGTGACGGGACACTGTAAAACAAATAATAACAAGATATCAATTATTGTAATTTATAACAACTTTAACGAAAAAATAGTAGTTTAAAAAACGAAATTAATCAAACCATAAATATCTGTCATACTTTTGCATCAACACGTCTTACAATCTTACAATGTCAATATAATATTTTTAGCTAAATGGTTATTTTTGAAGATTTTGCAATAACCGTAGAATATTTACTATTTACTTTTTACGATTCTATTTTGTGTATTTCATTTCCTAAATAATCAAAAAAATAAGAAATGTTTGAACAGTTCTGATATATATACACACAAAAAATGACGGCATATTGTCAAACTAACGATGGGCTTTATAACTTCTGTTGTCATTGTCAGTTTTCTGGCGATTGTTGGAGTCACTGCCGAGTTAATAGCTGTTGTACAGGTAAGTGCTGATTAATTGATTTTTAGTTTATAATATAATAAAATAATAATAATAATAAAATAACCCTAATACCCTAAATACCGGGTATATATATATATATATATATATATATATATATATATATATATATATATATAATATATATATATATATATTAATATATATATATATATATAGTTTATACATGCTTATTTTTCCGATTCTTGTTTTCTATTTAAGCACGTCTTTTGTAATACTTTAAAATCTTTGGCTCACGTTAAATTTTTATTTTGATTAGTTTCCATTTAGACATTCTTTCGCATCAGACTAAATGATTAAAATAATAAATAAATCAATTGAGTTATTTTTATAAAAAAAAATATTTAACCCTTTCATTACTGATTTCATTGTAGCGAAATAAAACAGTTTAAAATGACTTTAATGATATTCGTTGACACCTGGAGACCTAATAAGCGATTGATTTTTTTTACATTGTTGCGTGTCCTTGTATCCTTAGAAAGGACATGGGACATATATGTCTCATTAGTGTTGAATGGTGGGATAAATAAATCCCATCAGTAAAGAAACAAACTTATATTCAAAATGAAAAAAAGTACATTACACAAAAAACATTACTTCTTATGAATGATGTGGTAAAAAACAATTTTTGCATAGAGGCACATTGCACCCTGTACAAATAGTCGTAGTTCGAGTTTCTGATTTATTTTTTGAACATCTAAAGCACCTTCTCCTAGTAGGTATTTGTTGTGGCAAATGGTCTCCAACATTGATCATATGTTTCTGTCGTTTAGATATTCTTCCAGAACGGCCACTTATTCGTCTTTTTACATTTGATTTCGATCTTCCTAATTCAATTAGCTGTTCTGCTAGTGGCACCAGAAAATTCAAAAGTGAAAATTTCGTATTATCTTTTTGTACACTTCTTTTATGCAAATCCTTGTAAATAATCCAAGAATTTACAATAGCGTACATGACTAATCTATAAAAAACTTTTCTCCACCATTTCGCAGATTTTCGGTCCATATCATATGTGCTAACGTTTTGATCGGCGAGATCTACTCCTCCCATAAAATTATTGTAAAAAATAATTGCTTCTGGACAAGTGAACTCAGCTTTTTCTCCAGTTTTCAGCTTTCTGTTGATAATTCCAACAGTTGTACTGTGACAATTGGACATCAGCATAACTTCCTTCGTGTCTTTCCATTTAGTTGCTAAAATTCCTTCGGATGAAACTAAAAACTCCATGTCACCTCTTAACATTTTGTTATTATCAAATTTAGCTACATTTACCCGATTGGCCATATAGGTTCCTAAGCATGGAAAATTTAGGGTGTTTAGTAGGTTGAACGAAGTGAAAAATCTATCAAAGCATAGACACACATCTGGTGACCGTAAGGTGTTGGCTAGAGTTTCAACAACTCGTTCTCCTAAAGTTCCAGTAGTTGGTGTGGATTATTTTCCCGAGCATATATTGAAATCGTATATGTATCCTGTAAAAGAATCACTTCGTTGACACATTTTTATACCTCTTTTTACTGACTTTATAGGAAGACACTGCTTTAAGGCAGATCTTACGTTGAACTTGGTCATTGATTCGTCAAAGGACTGATGGGAACTCTCAGTCCTCGCTTTTACAGAAGTTTGTTTTAAACAAGAAACCACTTCATCGAGATAGTATGTTTTTGATGTATTACCATTTCTTTCGGGATTCTTATCGTAGGACTTAGATAGCAGGAAGCTCTTTAGATAGCTTTTTTTATGAGGGAATTTAAAGTGATTCGTTTTGTGACCAGTAGTGTGGGACAGATGGTACTTTGTTGTAACACATAACCATAGTACAACCAATAAATGTCTTTGCTGCTCTTCTTTGATTTGTACAGGAAGCAATCTGCATTAATAAACTACACGGAAATAATTTTAGAAAAATATCAACAGGACGAGAACTTTTATCAATATTTAATGCAGTTATCTCATTTCTCTGCGCAGGAATTTCTTTTTTGGACAAAAGTTTGTATTTGGTATGTTCCATTGTGCAGTCAATTCATTTCTTTCAGACTCATCTTCAGATATTTCCGCGTCATCAGAACTTTCTTCCTCGGAAGCAGTGGTGTTAACATCCACATGATCAGTAGTGTTCTCAGGTACTTCATCAGACTCTGAGGCAGAATCGTCATCAGGCACATAATTAGACTCTGAGGCAGCATAAGGTCCTTCCTCGGATTCATTTTCAAAAATATTTGTGAGTTTGTCAATTTCTTCTTAAAGCTCCTTTTGTGTTAGAAAACGTCCATGTGCCATAGTAAGTCTGTAACTAAACAATGCGAATGGGATAAATACGACCCGGTATAAAGTATTACTGGGACACTGGAGTCTCGTTTAGAAATTAAGGAACAATCAATAAAAATATTATCAAAAACAAACAATATATATCACTAATATGTTTTAATCTGCAACTGAATTATATATAATATCTTAAATGACAGAGCAGACACTTTTCCTTACTAAAATTTATAATATTTATGAGTTCCTGATGCACGTGTTTAGTTATGATCAATTTTTGGTTATAAACGTGATATGTAGGTTGCACACTACTAGTTAATAAGTAAGGAATGTCTAAAAATACGGATGCTTTCAAATAACATGGGCTTTGGTGACAAACAGATGCCAGTAGATTTTTTGAAATCCGCTGGGACATAGGTATATGTCCCCACAGTATTAAAAGGGTTCATATTTACTACTGGTTTATTAAAATTCGGTCTCCTGTTCTAGAAAGTATCTAGTTTAGAAATGTTATTATTACATTTTCTAATATTATATAAAGAAAATTGATCATAATCACCACTCTGGCCTTTCTTTGGTATTTCTCTCCAGTCGTTCCTAGCCATCGCCTTTCTCTGTCTAGCACGTATTCCCATATTTCCCATGTCTTCATCGATGTTATCAAGGAACGGTATTCTGAGTCTTCCTCTTCTTCTTTGAGCAATAGGTCTATCAATGAGCATTTTTCTAGCTGGGTCGGTTTGCTCCATCCGCATTACATGCCCTATCCATATCAGACGTCCTGTCTTTATATGTTTTACGATATGATGTTCCCGGTATATTCTATAGAGTTTAAAGTTATATCGTCTTATCCACACTCCATTGTTATTTACTGCTCCATAAATTCGCCTTACTACTTTTCTTTTCAAACGTACTAACATGTTTTCATTATATTTTGTTAGAGTCCAGGTCTCTGAAACATATGCTAGAACTGGGCATATTATTGTTTTGTAGAGATTTATTTTTGTATTTCTCTATATAATTGTAGATTTAAGAAGGAGATTAAGCCCAAAATAGTATTAGATTTTCAGTGTTAAAGAGCGTTCCCAAGTATACAAATTCGTTTACTGCTTCGATGATGTCGTTTTTTACAGCAAGTGGTAGTAGGATTTGTGGTTGCGTGTTTTGATTTGTTGGTGTTTATTATTAAATTCATTCTTGTATCCGATCTTTTTAATGCTACATATGCCTCTCGTACAGCATCAAATTGAACAGTCTACAGGAGAAACAGTCTCTCTGACGCATCCCGTCATTTGTTTTAAAAAGTATAGGTAGTTCCCCCTAAATTCGTACTCTACATTAAACTTTTTCAAGAGTTAGTTTTGTTAAATTACTAACTGATTTGATATTTCTAGCTCTTTTATTGCTTTGAACATTTCTTTTTTATTTACAGATTCTTAGGCTGTTTTGTAGTCTATAAATATGTGATGAGCATAAATGTCATATTTCAATGTTTTTTTCAAAATTTGTTTCACGGTTTTAATCTTAGGAATGGTAGATTTACCACATTTAAAACCATCCTAGTATTTTTCTATGATCCGTTCTGCATATGGTGTTATACGGTGATATAATACAATGTAAAGTGCAATACAATGTGTATAGTGTAAAATATTTTATACACTGCATCTAAAAGCGTAATTCCTGTGTGGTTATCTCCTTTAGAGCATTTAAAGATATCTCCTTTTTTGTATATAGTACAAAGTATTCCAATATTCCAATCATTGAGGAGGGATTTTCTGTATCCATTCTTCTTTTATAAGCTGCTCTAATGTCATAATGGTATCATGGCCACTTTTATATAGTTCAACGGGGAGATTATCTATTTCGCCTGATTTGTATCTGGCTAGTGTTCTAACTGTATCTTTAACTTCAAGAATTGTTGGTGGTTCCTCTTCCGTCTCGTCTTTTCCTCTTACCTTGTCTCTTTTGTCTTCCTGGTTTTTTTCTTCTTCTTCTATATTAAGTGCTTGGGTAAAGTATTCCATCCATCTTTTCAATATACCTTTTTTTGTTGGTAATAGGTTGCCATTCTGACTTCTGCAAGCACACCACAAGCATTGGCTTGTGGTTACCTTATACTCTTTTTTGTTAATGTTAAATTTCTTATAGAATGCTCTGAATTCTTTCTCTCTCTTGAGGTTTTCTATATATTTAAGTTCCTCATTTAGATGGTTTCTTTTCTTTGCTTTTGTGTATCCTCTTTTCTTCTCTTCTCTTCTCTTCTCTTCTCTTCTCTTCTCTTCTCTTCTCTCTGTCTGGTAATTCTCTACAGTTGTTTTCGTTCATCGGATATCTTTCTGTAGGCTTCATTTTTGTTCTTTTTGATTTTGATTTTGAGAATGGGAACACAAATGTGTGCACAGGCACACATTTGTGTTCCCATTTTATCTTTTGTTGCTGTCTCAATGGCTTCCTTTATTCTCATCCAGTAGAAGTCTATATTTGTCCGGTCTTCATCATTTACATATTAATTCCTTAGCCTGTTGGTGATGTTTACCGTTCTGCAATTTCGTATCTTTCAGATTTTGCACATACCATTTTTTTGCTGGTTTTATTTTTATTTTATTTTTTTTACTGGTGATTGAAATTCTAGCGCTTACTGATAAAATCACTCACTTGGAAATTATTTGTGTCTATTTTTGCGCCTCTTCTGCAGTTTATTACGTCTGTTTCATGCTATTAATCATCTTCCGTTTAATCTATTAAGATGTAATCAATCTGACTCGTTTTTCTTGCATTAGAAAAGGTCCAGGTTACCTTGTGTATATTCTTGTAATCAAAATAGGCGCTAGCGTACTGTGAGTCTTAAATATGTTGTATCTTCTGAAAGTAAATTAAAAACGTCTATTTAAATTATTGTGGAAGACTTTAGATAAAGGAGAGTGGCCTAATGCAATTGTAAAACTTTATTCTTTTTTTTTTTGGAAATTTCAATAATAATGCCTAAATGAAACTGTTTTCCAAAATAAAGATTTTAATCACCTCTCAATGTCTTCGTTATCAGCCTCGATTATCCTTTTTTTGTGAAATTGCTTTGCCAAATACACCACAATGTTTTAATTATCAGCTTCCATCATTTTAAAATATTTTTCTTCTTAAAAGCATTTATAAATCGGCACAATATTCGTCTTTCTCTGTTGCTTTCTTGTTTATTCTTCTTTCTTATAATCGTTTTTTCTCTTTTAATCTCCAATTACCATAGAGATAATATAATTTTTAATCTCTTCGAATCTCCATATAAATAATATAATTTTTAATCTCCGTCTAATATTCCCTTAACACTAATTTTTTTTAATCTTCATCTAATATACTTTCCAATACTATTAAAGTTTAACACTAAATCACTGCATTACTGACTTTAATATTCTAATACTGACCACTGCATACTATATACTGTCTAATAATCACTATTGACTACTCTATACTGTCCTTTCTCCTCCAAATCACAGAGTATTTATATCATTTCAATGTTCCCGAATATTCTTGAAAGAAAATATATTCGAATCCTTCTATTTCATAGACACTCCAATGTTCGCGAACATTCTACTACGAAAAAAGGTTAAGTTCTTTCTATTGACGTTTTAAAGTTCTAGGTAATTCTATCGAGAATTTTATAGAAACTTAGGCTTTGCAGATCAGAATGTAAACTTATATATAAATTTAACATATTAAATTAATAAATAACACTATTTTAAATCCATAATTAATTATTTCAACTGTCTCTTATTCACTCTTTATAACCAAATTTACTTCAGTATATATTTGGTTGCCTATAAAAATGGGGCACTCAAACATATTTATAATATCATAATTTTTAAATAACCTAATACATTACAAAATAAAAACTTTTTAAACTTATTATTATGCTAATATCTTAAGAATGTCCTCATATAAATACTTTTTATAAGATTCTCTAGTATATAACATAAATTATTTCTTTATCACTACTAAAGTTTATTTGTTAACTGCTTTTTAACGCAATGGAAAATATTTTTTTTAATTGCAAGTTCTTAAGATTAATTCAAATTTTCTATGTATGTGAAGCTGCCGGCTTCACATACATAGAAAAGTTATGATAACTTAAAGTTAAGCTCAATTTGAATTTCTCGACTTAAAACTGTTAATAAATCTAAAACTATAATGTGTTTATATAAAAACTGTAATGTTTTTTACGGATATAGTTAACGGATTTCAATATCAGATGTCGATATTTCCGTCTATACGAAGCCATGATAGAGTTGCTTCCTGAGACAGAAAATATTTGTTTTCACGTTTAGACCGACCGTGAATAGCTGTTCTGACGAGCCCTATTAGGGTGAAATACGTATAAGCAGATACACAGACACACTACACGTGAAATCTAATCTTGAATGTCTTTTCTTTTTATTCCGATATACTCTGTACGAGTACAAGAAACCAATTCGCTAAGGATTTTTGCTTAGTTGAGGAGATATGTCGTGGAATGCAAATTTTAGATTCCAAATGTCTGTAATAACATCTTTATCAACGTCTGTTTTGCCTTGCAATTTTTAAAAGGCACAGATTAAAGCAAAAATCTGAATTTGGTTTCGAAAATTAGTTTACGGATTTCAATATCAGATGTCGCTATTTGCGTCTATACGAAGCCATGTTAGAGTTGCTTCCTGAGACAGGAAAGATTTGTTTTCACGTTCAGAACGACCGTGAATAGCTGTTCTGACGAGCCCTATTAGAGTGAAATACGTATAAGCAAATTCACGGACGCACACAGGTGAAATCAAATCTTGATTGTCTTTTTTTTTGTAATGTATTTATATAATATATAACATATTTAATATCTTTTAGTCGTATTTACTATTAGATTATAAATTCAAAAATTGTTGATGTGTATGTAACACTAGGTTTAACTGGATTTTTTTACTCTAGGTAGTTCGACATGGTCAACGGACGCCGGTTAGATTCTTTCCCACAAACAAATATTCTGATATGTCGTATTGGGGAAACCTTGGTCCAGGACAACTAACAAATGTAAGACTTTAGTATTATAGGTAAAAAATTAGAAACATAAAATCATTTTCTAAATTTAATTTCTATCTTAACATTCAAAATTTTAATAACGATAATATGGACATATAACGATATACTATAGTACTTTTGTACTATAGTACTGTTACTATTCGTAAGCCTGGATGTTGGTTGGATTTATGTTTATTATCACTGAAAAACGTATACCCAGCAACTTTATACAAAGAATAACCATCAAATTCTTGCAAAGAAATATAAAGGGGAACCTTTCTTAAAAATATTTTAATCAGAAATCTTAATAAAGACAATAAAACAATGTAACTAAGGAATAGCAGAAGTACCATATAAACTATACAGAGAATTAAGCAAATTGGTAAATAACGATAATATGAATACACTGGTAGAAATGTTCAAAAATATCTTTAAGACGCACGAAATATCGCACGACAAGCTTCAATATACTTTTAGACCCATTCAGAAGAAATTTTACAAACAGTTTTGATTAGTTCGAGTAATTAGTCTATTAGTCAGGTACTTAAACAGTTCTTAAAGATAGTGCAGACAAGAATTTATAACATATGTAAAATATATATTAGTTTTACTCAGTTTGTATTCAGGCATACTTCAAGTGCTCTTGAATTTGACTGTATTCTTCCAAAAACGCAGATACCGGTGCAAAGACGTTATGTTATGTTTCTTGTGATTACCAGAAAGTATTTAACCGTTATGTCCATACCCAAGTACCTGATACGGGAGTCTATACCCGTGCTACCCAGGTACCCGGCATTGTTTCGGTAAACTTCGCTTGTACATTCCGAAAATAACAGACAATTGGGATTTTTCTTTGTTTGCTATCAGTGTTTATTTAACTGTGCTTACAAGTTGTTAATATTTTTGTGACTATATGCGTGTTTTATGTTGTAATTACTTGTAATAATGGCAAGAAGAGAAGTGAGTGCTAGCGAATTTAGAAGGTAAGTTATTACTGTTTATTTTTACAATGTTTTATACATAGATCATTCAATTTTAGAATGACGTATGAAAAGCAACAGAAGTACTTGCAACAATTTATAGACGATATAGATGAGGAAGTAGACAAAAATATCGAAAACCAGGAATCAGATGAGGACTATGTTTCGCAAAGCAAACCGGATGGAGATGAAGCTTCTGACGTAGAGGACGTTTTTACTGATATCAATAATAAGATTGAAATCGATACCGACGGCGACGATAGTAGTGATGAAGATTTTGACGATTTTCAAGAAGTTCTTCCCAAAGTGATGTTCTGGTTGCAAAAGATAAAACGATTTGGCAACGAAAACCGTTTACTGCAAGTCGAACACTGAAACGTAACCTTTTGCGTGAAAAAACGGGCCCAGTACGTTCTACTAAAACTCTTTCGATTAGAGATACATTCAAATGTGTTTTCAGTGACGTAATGTGTGACATAATTATACGCGAAACCAATCGAAAAGCTAATAGCGTTTGTGAAAAGTATAATGTTGAAAACCCCGACAAACCTCGAAATGTTTGGAAGTCACTCACAACAGAAGAATTTGATGCATACTTAGGTATTCTTATTACAGCAGGAGTACGGCATTCAAATTCAGAGCACTCGAAAGATTTATGGAAAACAGACTCTCATCCTTTGTACCGAGCAAGTATGGGCATAAATCGCTTTTGGAGCATCAGCAGATTCTTACGGTTTGACAATGACAAAACACGTGCAGAACGTTTGCAAAATGATAAAGCTGCAGCTATTACAGATATATTCCATCTTCTCAATGATAATTTACGTCGTAACTATGTACCGTCGGATTCTCTTACTGTGGATGAACAGTTATTTCCTTTTAGAGGTAGGACACGTTTCACGCAATATATGCCAGCAAAACCTGCCAAGTATGGCATCAAGGTTTGGTGGGTTTGTGACGCCAATAATTCGTATCCACTTACTGGACAAATTTATACTGGAAAAAATTCGACTGGACGTGAAACTAATCAAGGTGAACGCGTAGTAAAAGATTTGTGTTACCGATACAAAAATTCTGGACGAAACATAACAATGGATAATTTTTTCACAACTCTTCCACTAGCCCGTCTCCTGTTGTCTTGGAATTTATCATTAGTTGGTACTTTGAAAAGAAACAAACCATATATTCCACAAGAAATGCTGCCTTCGCCAGAGCGTGAGCCTGAATCGTCATTACACGGATTCAGTGCAGATCGTGTTACTATTTGTTCATATGTACCAAAAAAGAAAAAAGCGTTATCTTGCTGTCAACAATGCATGACAACGATAATGTAAGTGGCCCAAAAAATAAACCTGAAATAATTCAGTTCTATAATACAACTAAAGGAGGCGTAGACAACATGGACAAAATGGTTTCTCATTATTTCACTAAACGCAGAACTTTGCGTTGGCCAGTAGCCTTCTTTTACAATATCCTAGACGTAGCTTGCCTAGCAACCTATATAATTTATACAGAGAATAATCCACAGAGTTCTACTGAAACCAGTAAGCGTAGAATTTTTCTACAAGACTTAGGGAAACAACTAGTGATGCCTGCAATTTATGCTAGATCTAAAGTACCAAATGTATACCGAAATTTTTCATCAAGGTCAGGAATTGAGTGTATGTTAGAAAAACCTCTACCTACAGATTCAAGTAATACTGCAGAGTCATTACCACTTCGAGATTCCACTGGACGCCTCAAAATTGTTGGAAACTGCTACATTTGTATGTTTTTAGCGAAAAAGCGGCTAAGAAAGACACGAAAATCATGTAATGTTTGTAATCGTCCACTATGTAACGAACACTCAGTAAATATAAGTAAGTGTGGACAATGTGTTTAAAATGTAACTTTTATTTACGTTTCCATATCACTTTTATTATAAAAAAACTAGACAGAGCTTCATAATTTATAACCCGACAAGCGAAAGCTGGCGGGTTGCGCGTAGAACAAATAGAAAATTGGAAGGGATTGCTCATTTCTATTGCAGTCGGCTAGGAGTTCACATGTATAATCGTTTAAGTACCTATACTATATACCTGTAATCGCGATTAAGTACCTCTCCTATCTCTCTTAGAATAATTACTTTTCTATTTTCGCGCAACTCACCCGCCAGCTCTCGCTTGTCGGATTATACTAAACATTAGTGTTACCCGGGTGCCACGGGTGTGGACGTAATGGTGTAAAAACTTTGGCAGGTAATTTTAATATATTATATGCATTTTTTTCTTTGGTTTTTATTATAAATCTCTTCGTTCTAAATAATTTTAGAAATAACTAGAAGCTCGAATAAAAATATTTATACTATCGTCAATGATTCAGATAAAACAATTACCAAGGATACCCAGGTACCTGGGTATAGACACAAAGATTAACTAGGTCAAACATAGATAACTAATAAAACTGCTACAAAGTTAGCGATAAACCGGAATGACTGATTATCAACCTCTACTTAAATTAAACAGCAACGGTAAAACTGAAAAATGAAACTACACAGAACTTTTCAATGGAGAAGTACGTAAGACTTCTCCATCTTCCGAATTTTGCACAGAGTATCAATTTTGGGACTTAAAACAAAAACGTTTTCCTTTTTGATCCACATGCATTCTCCTAAAAACCGTCTCGTAGAGTGACAAAAACGCTGTGACGCTACCAAGAATATGTACGCCGTAAAAAATATTTCAAATAAAAAATGTGGCTGAAATAATTTTAAATTAAACTGTTTATTAGCACTTTTTGCGTAAAATGAACTGCTCTCAGAAACAATTCTTGCACGACCGGCGATTTTAAATGTTAGATCCGCACGCGGAATCACTACTAAATAAAATTTGTATTTGTAAACTCGACGGTAAAAAATCAATATCTTTTGATCAGAGTGTCTTATCACTGTAAGCAAAAATCAGAACAAACCTTAAAATGCGTTTTAAACGTAAATAATCCAGATTCTATATGGATTTTTTGTAATTTACCGCAAGTGAAGTCAGTTTCTATAAAGCCGTTCAATAAATAAACTTTGCGCCATTTTTGCCATTTTGTATGATTCTCTTGAGATAAATCACGTTTATGTTTATAATATTTATTAATGACTGATGGTAATAGAACCGGAGTTCGGTCTTCAAAACCTGTAACACAATTTGAGTTTGACTTTTGGCAACAAATATTAGGCATTTGAAATATGACTAAATACACAGAATTTAAACTTTTACATTACAAATGATCGCACGTCATGGAAAATGCCTCAAAGAAGACAGTTTTGCCATTTGATTTGAATATTAAGTTTTAGTTTTAAAAATTTCATAGTGCCCGGTCAATGAAACGGATACATTGTATTAATTAGTTATTGATAAAAATAATAAAAATGGCAAAAATCTCGCCACGTTTATATACTAACCACCTTTATAAGAATTTATTTCGTTTGCGGCAAAATACAAAAAATTCATACAAAAGCTAAACTCTTTACCTTTAAAATGCATCTTCATTTTTGTCGATAGGACAGTCGGATCAAAAGATGTCGAATTTTTACGGTCGAGCGGATACCATTGATTTCAAGCAGTAATTTTGCGCGCGTATCACATCCAAAATCTCCGAGCACTTTAATCATTGTTTTTGGGAGAACGATTCATTTTTTCTCCTCTACGTAAGGGATTTAAAAAAAAAGTTCAGGGGTAAAAGTGGTAAACTTTTTTGCATCTTTTTAGCGTCCTTAAATTAAAATTTTTGGCAAATTCAGCTTGTTTGTATGATTGTTAGAGGTTCGATAACATTTACGTCTCTGACGTCTGGAGTATAAAGCAAATTTTTGTAGATCAGTGAGAGATACTAAGGATAACATAACGCCTGATAAGCAGGTTTTTAATAACCTTCCGTATGCAGTCATATGAGCCAACAGCCAGAAAGCACTACAACGTCTTATCTATAGGTTAAAGAGGAGAACAATTTGGCTGGTGGTTAGTGCAACACTCAATATAAATTTGAGTACAAGTTAACGGATAT